CTAACTAACCTTCTTTGCACTACTAAATAAACCATTTTCTCCACCCTTATAACATCAAGCTTTATTGCCATTGTTCTCCTAACATTTATAATTCTCGCAATTTTTATTTCTCAAAAGTGTAAACATCATTCAAGCCATGTTATAACTGTTAATTTTGTATTTCCCCTCACCATGCTGCTATACCAACAGAACACTAGATTCAATCATCTTTAACATGCTAAAATTTTCTAACTGAATCGACAGTGCTGTTTGAAACAAACTCACTGTTATTATTATTATTATATTTACTATTCTCATTTTGTACTTAGAAGATTTTTGACTTCAAAGCGTAAATGTGGACAAATTCCTTTGGTTAATTTTGACTTAATTTTTAATTTTATTTATATTCTGAGTAAATCAGGCGCAATATTGTGATAAATACGGAGAACTCCATTCTGTATTATAAGTAGTGCTGTTTTTGGAACAAAGCAGACTATTATTTAAAACAAGCAATAAAGGTTAATAAAGCAGTAAAGAACTTCTCAGAATATCCATTCTTAGATAAGATATCCTTCCGGGATTTTATTTCATGCTCAACAGTACTGTCAGAACAAATTTTTCGTGCTCTATTGAACAGTGTTCTGACTAAGTTCTTTTTATACTGGATTGGAACAAAACTCTTGAAATGCGTGTACTGTCCTGTCCATGAAGACTTTCTAAATATAGATCTTTCGATTGTGCCATCATTCATTTTTGCCAGAAAAACGTCTAGGAATTTAATAGTATCGTTTTCCTCATGTTCTACTGTTCCAATTAAACTGTTTTGTTCTCCGTTATTACTATTCCTTTGTCTCACACCTCTGTTTACTGTCTATATTATGCATTTCTTCTACTTTCTTCTCTTGCTTTGCGTGCTACATAGATTGTGGCGACTTGAACTGCCGCACATATGTGCAAAGTTCTATGTCGAAAACCGACCGACCGACCGACCATGTTCTACTGTGAAATTGAGATTTGGATGGCATGAGTTGAATTTTATCAACATGTCTTCGGCTTTTGATCTGCTTCCACAGACAATAAAAATGTCATCAACATATCTTAGGTATGGATCCGTTTCTTGTATATGTTGCTGCAAGGTACCGGTTTATAGGCGTGACAAGTAAGAGTCAGCGAAAAGCGGTCCCAAAGGGCTTCCCAATGCGACACCATCAACTTGACAGAATAGACGCCAGTCGAATTGGAATTGGACATTTTTAGTACAGACTATTACTAATGATAATTTACAATGCAACAAAAAACGTAGGTATCCTGATTTTTAGGACTTGTCAGCTGAGTGTACGTGTAACTACCTGGATAAGTGATGACTCCCCAATTCAGTCAACAGAGAATGAACACTCCAATTCAATAAAATTAATGAATAAAGAATTTGAGATGATTTCAATAATTAAGATTCCCTGAAATTTTAATCGTAGAATTTTACCACATAAAGCCGTATAAAGTGATCCCAAAGTACTTCTTGATGCTTACTGATCCATCGTTACCTTCGTGTAGCCAAGCAGGATAAAGGTCTTTGACTCTTTTAAAATAAAACATGCATTGAATGACGTGTATATCTCTCTCCATTGGAGCATGTGAGTTGGTAGATATACACTAAATTGGTCAAATGTAACTCGTACGCTGAGTAATTTAACTAAAAGAGTCGTGGAACACTATCCAGCTTGACTACAGAAAGTTAACGATAGATCAGTAAGGAGTGGTATAATTGAGCATGTATTCAACACTGGTCACTTAACGTATGCAAGGACAATTCTTCCAAATTTATCTACAAAGTCAAAAGAAGCCTGTCGAAAACGGTATTCGTCCGTCTACTTAGTAGTGCTGAGGTCGTAAAGATTTCTATGGAAGACCTTGATTTGTGTGCACACAAATAAGAAACTTCTCCATCCCCTCCTTCTACCTTGAGTATTATTCAAACTTCAACTGTTATTAATATTTTGTTTAATTGCATGGAGGATTTCATCATGAGCTGACATCAGTTAGAGAAGCACTAGAAAACTTGAGAGTCATAGTTTGCGACTCTTCGTCAGTACGCAACACACCGCGGGGTTCAAACCCAGGACCTTCTGGTTACAAGGCAAGCTGGCTCGTAGATCATTGAGGCACTGGGAACCGATTCACAACATAGCGCGACCATTTCGCATTATCTTCTTCGATGAGTTACTGCCTCATCTTCAACCTGCTGTACCCTACTAGTCACGGCTTCCCCCTAGAACCAGCCCAGATTACTGCCTGAATAGGACCAGTTGCTAGTGAGCATCGGATTAATTTTCAAGTATAATTGAAAATTAGAAGTTAGAATCCATGGGCTGGCTATTGGATCGGGTCCCAGTGGCTCAATGGTCTACGAACTCTCTAGCCTTGTAACCAGGAGGTCCTGGGTTCGAACCTGAACAGTCACAAACTACCCTGACGTAACAGCTGGCTGTCTGGTGTTCCAATGGTTCTCTAACTGATGTCAGCTCATGATGAAAATCCTCCAACCAATCAAACAAAATCCCCACAAAACCAATACTTGAAAATTAATATTTTCTTTTGTTAATACGGCAGTTTTGTTTTGCATTTTTCGTATGACATTAATTATCACCAACATTATCATCATCATCATCATTTTCTTAACTAACCTCTTAGTCATCCTCTTCACCTAATACATAATTTATTGTGACACTTCTCTCCATGCTTTTTCATTGACCTCTGATTTTTATGAATCTTTTCATATTACGTAATCCTAGTCTAAACTTACTAATCTTCACCGCACCTAGTTACAATTTTGATTATCCTTCAGTGTTGTGAAATATTTTGATGACGTAAATACTGACCCGCAGCTAATTCTTATTCTTGTTTAACAGAAGTAATGTACACACATGCAAATAGTTATATGTAACTCCGATTGTACCGCTGAAGGAATAAATTCGCCGCTGAAAAAAGACCCTTCAGTGAACTGTTTATCCTTATTTCATGATGCCTAGATGGTAGATATTTTACGTGAATACACTGAAAATCTTACATTTATGAGAAAGTATAACTCTAAGCATTTCATTTATGTGACATCGCCTCACAGTATGACGTCACAAATATCTCATTTGCAGTGCCTGTACAACTTCAGCAACTGGTTGTTGACTCAACCGATAGCTGTTACCTTGATGTGGTGGACGGGCTTACACATCGCGATGACCCAGCAAGCTACACTGGCTGGAACCAATGTTCCTGCAGGTCCTACTATGCCAGGAAGGTTGTTAGGATAGCGATTAGACTAAAAGCAGTTAACGGCATTGTCTAAGAATTTTTCTTACACTATGCGGGGGTCTGAGGGCGAAGTCGTACTGCTGGGAAACAGGGATGTAACAGCAGTGAGGTGTTTCCCTCAGATGACCAGCATGCTGGCCAGCTATGCTGTCTCTCCACTCCGGAGAGGGGGTGTTAGAAAAGGTCAACCCCGAAAATTGTACATCCCGACTTACCCTACAATGGTGATCCGTAACCAGCGGTAAGTTTACTAATACGGAACCAATCCAAGAAACCAGTTCATACAGGTCGTGTGTGACCGGCCAGCATCAAGCAGTTGTCCCCTGAGCTTTGCGGTCACGCAACACTACCCCTCTTTCTGTTTCAGGTACCAGAAGAATCAATAAACTTCCACGATGTGGGCAGCCGGGAAGTAACAACCGCCCACACACTTCCAAAAGCACTATTGTAGTTGGACGCTTCTTTTCTCTGACGAATTAAAAGGTATTTTAAAAAAAACTACTTTCACTATTCCGGTTTCGTTGATGCAATGCACATGGTCAGGGATTTGATCCCCGGCTGGCGCACACCACCTCCCTCAGCCGCTTGGAAGCCTGAGAAAGAGAGAAGGTTGAAAGCAAGGGTAATGACCCTATCCCGTAAAAAAAGCCACTTCCACTGAAGTATCTAATTTGAATTTTCAAAGAAGCTATTTTTTTCATTCCAATAGGAATTTTCTAAAGATACAACACACAGGTAACAGCTTCAAAGAAGAGAAAACTTGGAGGATCTGGACTTCGCCAATGTGATGTGTCTGATTTCCCACAAACTGGAAGATATGCAAGTGAAAAACAACAAGTTGGCGGGAGAAGCATCGAAGGTAGGAACTCATTTCAGGTGAACATCGAGAAAACAGAGGTGATGAAGATTCCTGGACAACAGCAATAGCAACAACAGCAGACAGCAATCAGCATGACATTTGAAAGAAGCAACCTCCTTCACCGACCTACCTACCTACCTACCTGGGAAGCATCATTTCAACTACAGATGGGCGGAACTGATGAGGATATCAAAGTGAAGATCGGGAAAGCAAGACAAGCTTTCTCTAATCTCAAGTCTGTGTGCAAATCAACAGCACTACTCAGCATGAAAATAAGATCAGGATTTTCAACTCTAATGTGAAGTCAGTGCTACTATGCAGATCAGAAACTTGGCGCCGCGCCGCGTCACGAAGGCCACTTTGTACAAACTACACACCTTGATCAGATGACCAGAAAAGATCAGTAAAAAGGATCTCTGGGAACCACCCAACCAGAAAAACATTGTCCAACAAATACACAGGAAGAAATGGAGGTGGACAGGTCATGCTCTGAGAAAACAAACCATCAAGTGAGTTACATCACACGCCAGACCATTGCTTGAGTGGAACTCAAATGGGAAGCGGCGAGTTGGTCGTCAGTACGAGGGTGACATTGAGGATGTCATACGAAGAGGTGATGAAAGCATGTGGGCAGACATGTAGCCAGGTGAGAACGTTAGGGGAGCCCTATGTTCCTCTAGGAACTAAATGACACGATAATATAACACAATAATAAAATTAGTAAGGTCAATTAGGGTGCCTTTCATAGTTTAATTCCCTCATGAGAAGTTAGTTACAATACATGCATACATAAATATAAGAAAACCCCTGTAATCAATTTCGTAAATCAATAAATTACAATAGTAAAATAATCGCTTACTTTTACGTTGACGAGGAAGTTTACCACCTGAATTTCCTGTAGTACTTGATACCACTCCTGAAGTGGTGGTTGAATGTATCGAATTAGCTGGATGTGTATGCTTTACAACAGAAGAACAGCTTGGCGGTGGGGGTTGAGTTATTTGTGGATTTATAATAGGACAGATAATAGAAGAAGAACCTAGTGAATTTGTATAATAACCAGTTATCGCCTCTGTGTGTATCTGTGTAATTCCATTCACAGGTTGGCTGACTTCATTCCAATACGTCTGAGGAGGATCATTCATCATTCGTTTACCCGGTGTGGATACAGTTGACAGTGTTGGCGATGAGGATGTCGGCATTAGTGTGACAAGTTCACTGACTGAAGGATTAGTATAGTTTCCAATAAATGTCTGTTGTAAGTCGATAGTTGTTTGTTGTTGTGGCTGTTGCATTGGAGGTAACTGAGATGCATTTGTACTTATCAGTGACCAATTGTTTGTTAGATCTCTGGTGATCGGTATTTCCATGTTTCCAGGCTGTTCAATGAACAATTCTCTGGATATCAATATTCCTGTTCCGTATGTTTATCCTCCTATTGCTGTGTAAGTTCCCTCCCGCACACGCACACGTACACACACGACGACGGTGATCAAGGCAGATAACTCATTCACAAGGAAGGAGAGAAAATTGTGCTAGAGTTTATTCTAATCAGGTAGTTGAGTCTACAATGATTCTTATCTCTTCACAGTGATGTCAATAACAATAATGAATCAGGTTATGTAATAGTAGTATGAACTAGTATATTGATGCTTTGTAGTTTAGCTGTCAAATAATGAAAATGTTTAGCAACATGATTACAATAGGTAAGACAGATTACAAATGGCTAGAATCAGGTCATGACCTAACTTATATATTGTGTGTATGGAGAGGCTTGTGATTGGTTGAAATAAAACTCATATATTAGTGTATAAGGTTAACCGATTCTATGTTTAAATTCATAATCCAGAGCGCTAAGCTTATTGGTCAATAGAAGAGGCAGGTCATTTAGGGGTCAGTGTAGGAAAATCAATCAATCACAATAGAGAATAGGTGTGGCCTTTGTTACGTCAACTGAAATTTGATTTGAAGAAATGTTCGCTTTAACCGGTTCATGTTTATCAATCATAAAAGAAGTACTTTCATTCATTCAGGAGAAGCTTGCAATGAGCTTTCAGTCTGCATTTAGGGTGATGATAGTTATTGATTTCGTCTGATTATTTTGATCAATATTCCCGTGAATATTGTAAACTTCAAGACTGTTTTTCATAGTCGTGGATGTAGAGAAAATATTATTCATATATGTGTAAAACTTGGGCACTGTGGCAGTAAGTAATTCCATATTAGTTAGTTTATTAGATGAATACATCACACTGTGAAACATTATTATTTACTGGATGACGTTTCGAACAAAATTTATTGTTCATAATCATTTCATCAATTATAATCACACGACTTAGAAACTTATGTTTTATAGTTTTCTTTGTTCTCTCCTGTTAGTCTTCGTTGGGGTAGTAGAATTTCCCAGATATCTGGTTGGACAAGTGTTGAATGATTCCTATTACACGTATTTGCAGTAGATTCGGTAAACAAAGCTTCTGTTATCAATCTTCTCCACTCGCCACCCTGTTACATTAGATTTTAAAACTGTCATCTTATCCCATCCTCCTGCTGTATGCTTGTGAGTAATTGCATGTATTGAGTGCTATAGCTGAACTATTCTCTAGATTTCTTATCTTATTCGTGTCAACTAATCTAGATTTTGCTACTAGGTTTTTATGCTCGGCTAGTCTGACTGCCCCTGTTCTACTAATTTGACCTATGTATTTGACCTGACAATCATTGCAGGCAGGATATTAGGTAAACAAAATTGTTTTGTTTACTTGGATCCACAGGAATGAATGATACTTTAACCGACAAAGCTTGTTTCTAATTGAGTTTGTGGGAGGTTTGAACGCCAACCACTTTTATTCCTGACTTGTTAAGAATTCTGCGTAAGGTTTCCGACGTACCTTCTTTGTATGGAATTACTACTGATGATTTAGATTCCTTATTGTTGGTGTTGTCTTGCGCATATTTGACATGCATGTCGTCATTAATATTACTATTATTATTATCACTATCACTGCTATTATTATTATTTTATTTTTACATTTCCCTACATACTTTCTGACTAATTTATCAGGGTAATTATTAAGTTTCAAAGCTTCCCTTACATGTGTCACTTCCTGTCTTAGATTTTCTTTGGTGCTATTTAGTTTTTGTGCTCTATTACTTAAACATTTCACCAATTCTATTTTCACTGACATAGGAAGGGATGATCGTAAGTCCAAATATCTGTTTGAATTTGTGGGTTCCATGTAAAACTAGTGTTTAACTTCTCATCTTCTTTCGTTTTTACGCTACAATCTTACACTGGGAGCTCCCCGTCTTGACTCTTTCCAATTCATAAGTGAATTGAATTGCCTCCACCTTTTAGTTAATGTGTTCGAAAAATCTATCTATATCCTGTGTTCTAAGTACAGTGAATGTGTCATCTACGTACCTCCACCATACTTTTGGGGTGGGTGGGGGTGAACGTTTCAATCGCTATGTTTTCCCACCTATCCATGAATAGATCTGCTACAACTGGGGATATTGGTGATCCCATGACAACTCCCTCAGTTTGTTTGTATATTTTCCATTGGAATTTAAATACTGTGGAAGTCAGGTATAACGGCACTCCCAGCATTATGTCCTCAAGTAGCACTTTCGTCCTAATTTCAAGATCTTGGTCAGAAATGAGTATGTATTATTCAAATTCATCCTTGAGATGTACTGAAAATCCTCTGGGATAACATTTAAAAATGAGCAATATTTAAGGAAATATTGTCAAATAACAAATGATTTGTTGAAATATACCAGTTTATTTATCATATTATTAATAATAGTGAATTCTTGGTTTGCAAGGGTTTGACAGACTTCAGGTTTGGTCACGTGCTGACATCAGTTACAGAACCACTGAGAAACAAGGGGTAGTAGACAGCTATTTCGCCCCAATTCTGGATCCACTAAGGCGAATGGAAACCATGACCTGAGGAGAGTCCACTGACTATTCATCAACTGGGACGGAACCGATTAGTTCATGAATCCTAACTTTTACCAATATGCCAATATGCGGCGCCACAACCAGCCGATGTAATTGTCCTCATTTCAGGAATTTCACATTGTAGTCATTCACCAGGGTACAAGAGACGAATTTTAGTCCTAAAATATGACGAAACAATTGTCCAGTACTGTCTCATTGTTAATGATTCTCTGACTTATATCAGTTAGGCATTTAACTTAAAATATAATCAATAATTCATCATTTAAACTAGTAAGGGAGTTGAGTCATTAGTTTTTCAACACATAACATTACAAAACGCATACTGCAGTATCTCGGAAGGCTCCAGCAATTTCGCCATAAGATTATTAAGTTGTAGCACTCTGTGACAAAGTGTAAAGAATTCAGTCGGTGAACAGTTGTTTTCCAAATCTGAATTTTAGAATCATTATAATGAAGTGAATTCAGGTTGGGCAGCCTGATGTTTCAAATTATTTCCCCAGTAATAAGAAATTCAAATTTACGCGTGAAATATTTCAAAATTTGTTTAATTTGATCGAATAGTCGTTGTATTTCAATTTCAATTGATTGTGTAAGATCGCCTTGATTAGTTGATGACATTTACATTGTTCATTATCATAGGTAATATGAAACATTCTAATGGGATTCAATATTTTTGTTAACTGGGTGTTACTAATATAGAGTTCGGTGTTTGGAAGCAGTTGGAAAGATTCAATTCAGCCAGCACATGCGGCATCCATTCTCCTTCCAGTGACCGGTGACTAATGTCTTCATTTAGTTGTAATTACGCTATTTGCCGAAATCTTCATCAGTATTGCACTTCACTTAACCCTTTCAGAAAGTGTCAATATCTGTTACCTAGTGAAATATATGAGTAATCCATCCACAGCTGAAATGCTAACTTATGTCTGACTGTCTGTCTGTTTTCAACATCGACCTTTGCACCGATGTCTAGCAGTTCAAGTCCCCACACTCCCTCCTTGTAGCACACAAAGCAAGAGAAGAAAGTACAAGGAATGCATAATAGAGACAGTAGACACGGATATGGGACAAAAGGAATAGTAATAACGAAGAACAATATAGTTCCATTGGAAATTACAAGTAGCTAGAAGTGAATGCATCTGTGCCATCCATTGAGAACGATTTTGAGCCATATCACCAATTGTCTCCAGCCACTGGTGTTTACCATCCCGAGGACCCCAAACGAACAGGAAGTTTACACCTTCCTACGTGGCTGCCTGGCCTTAACTAAATGTTGTGGATTTTATTGACTGGTGCCGCCATATCTTGGTTTAACCACCACTAGCTCTTTTCGAACCTGACCCTATGTCAGCTAACATTGCCAGTCGTCGACAAAGGCGATGCCTAGGCATACCTAACACATGTCCAAACCATCTCAGTCGATGTAACTTCACAGCCTAGTCAAATGATTTCCCTTCATGAATTTCATGATGAAGAGTTCGGGGTAACCATTTTCATTAAGAAATCCCTTCACTTTTACTCGTATCAATATACTCTGAAAGACCTTCGAAATTGTTGGCCGAGAAGTAATTTGGTAATTGCTTCAACACTATGGAGTGCGATAGGCAAACATATATAAACACCTGTGTGCGTCGGTGGTATAGCGGTTAGGACGCTCGCCGACCATGCACATGGTCCGGGGTTCGATCCCCGGCCGACGCACTCCTTTACCTCGCTGAGCCAGAAACAATGCTGGTAAAGAGGAAAGGTTGGGCATGAGGCTAGCAATCCCATCCTGTAAAATAAACACTGCTACAGAAACTTCAAGCCACTAGCTTGAAGCCCTGCTTTCCACTGGGGAACGTGAAGGAAAAATATATCTACCTAAACACCTGTATAGTTATGTTACATGTCTAATAATTTACAACAGAAAACCCAGTGATGCTTCTTAAGTGAAGAAAGGAGTAAGGACAGTCTGTTCACAATCAACGATGACCTTAGTTGGGGTGGAGTGAATGATGCGACGGGTCGTGGGCAGCAAGAAGAAGGTCATATGTTAGACTAAGGAAAAGACAGTAGAAAATCTAGACTTTGCAGATGATTTACGTCCAATATCACACAGGCTGTTAAGTTTATAGATAAAACCCAACATGTTTGCAATGGAGGCAGCAAAGGCAAAACTTCAGGTAAATATAGAGAAGACAGGTGTAGTAAGAACATCCAACGACCAATAACAGCAAAAACACAGATAACCATCAACAGCAGAAATGTAAAGGACGTCACCTCATTATGCGGCATCCCATCAACTACATGATATAGTGTCACAGCCAAACGGAACTGGGTAGGTATGACAAGAATTTTCTATTCTGAAGTCATAAAAGACAAGATCCGGAACATTTGTCATTTATGTAATGTTGGTACTTCCATGTGATTCAGATACTTGACGCACGCATCACCAAAAGCATTTCATGCAGGGTATTGCATCCCCCTCATCGACACTTATCCACTTCACTGCATACTGAAGACCAATTAGTTGATCAGAGAGGATAAGAAACAGGGGACTCTGTAAGGCGGAGAACTAGACAACAGCCTACTGCCAGAAAAATACGCAGAAAGAAATGTAGATTGGCTGGAAACGCGTTGAATAGACCAAGTTACATCATATACCATGCTGTCGAGTAGAGTCCCGATAGGAAGCAACGCTTTGGGCTTCCGAATCTGACATAGGGCAAATCAACTGAAGAGGGAAATGAAAGCTTACGGACCGTTG